CACTTTCCTTTTTAGGATATTTGTTAATTTCTGCTAAAATTAAGTGCATAATTCTGGCCGAAATTACATACGTAATTTCGGAATTACGGCATTACGGATTAGTTACGGCATTAAGACCTAATTACAGTATTACGACCTAATTATGGCATTACAACCTAATTACAGCATTACAACTTTTGCTTTTTAATGTAGATAGGTTGCAACATATTACATACGACACTGTGTCTTAATATTACAGTTACGGCTAACATCTTTATACAGGAATAATACAATCGCAGCTTTCATCATAAAATTTAGATTTCCACAACTTGACGTTATAGCTCTCGTCTTCATCATCAATATGAAAATAATATCGACTTTCACTCATACTAGCTGGTCGATACCAACAAATATATGCCAAATTATGTTCCATTTGTCCATTTGGCAAGTCAACTGTATGTTTGAAGAAGTATTGAATTTGTCCAGAATAACTGTTGACTTCCTCATCACTAGTTATAAATTTGGCTAAGACATACGAGCTTTTTGTATGTTGAACTGACATTGCGGAGCCAAATACTTCAGAACCAATTCGGCATCTTCTAAATTGATTTATCTTTACTCGAATTGTTATAGAATCTTGAATAATTTCATCTGCTGGTTTGCGAAACTTGTACATTTCGATATAAGAAGCATTATAAAAAGCAACCATCAGTTCGAGCATTAATTCAGTCATTATTGCTTCAGAACTAGGCTTCAGCATTTCTCTAGGAAATGGTTCGCATCCAGTAATAGTCGATTCCTGTATGTTTTTAGCATTTAGCCAAAACTGCTCTAGTTCATCTGAAGAAAATTGGTCCGCAGCCGATATTGAACCATTTGTGGGTCGATCTTCAAGCAATTCTAAACCTTTTGTTTGAATGTCAGAACTAATGATATCTCCAATTCGATTATGATTCATTATCTGACGCATTATTTTCGGTTCAATTTGTCTATTACTTGTTGGCAACGAGCCTTAAAAATTATTAAAAATAAGACTAACAATGTAAACATCCGAATAAAGTAAAAAAAGTAAAAAAAAAGAATATCTTACCGAGTATTCCATTCATACGCTCAAATGAAAAACACCAAAATGCATATAATGGACCAAAATCATTCGAACATACAATCGCACAAATGGAGCGAAAGGTAAAGATTAGGCATAATTTTTACTCTTCCATAGTGTACTTCAATAAGCTTAATTATTTTAATTAGCCTTTCATGAGCTTCTTCCATTAATTCAATTTCTAAAATTCGGCTTACTAAAATAGAACAAACTCTAACGAAATGTGTCAAGATTTTTCGATCTTTTGACTGTAAATGTTCCCACAATGAGGTAGTTGCTTAGATCATAAAGAAAATTCGCTACTGATCGGCTGTATAGTTCTAAAACCCTTCTCCGCGCTCAATATTTCCTGGAATTCGTCCCAAATCAGCCTGTATTTTGAATTGATTCATTTTTTCTTGAATCTTCTTTAGATCGTTCGGGGTTAAAACACTCTTTTTGATCCAAATCCTCTTTATTATCCACCTCGCAATTCCTAAGAATAAGCAGTGCATTGGATCTACAATAATAAAACGAATTGGGTCAAAGTACGGCAATCGAAGTAACTCCGACCACCTAACCCCTTTTTCACTAACGAAATTCTTTCTTGAATTGGTGGAATTGCAACTTCGCCATGCAAGAGCATTCCGACGATGTTCGGTCGAATCGTGAGTAATGAACCAATTCTCCATATCCTTCATACCTGCAAAATTATGTTGGTTGTCTTCATAATTTGCTCGTTTCATACACCGATGACAAGAAACCAAAGCTGAAATATGCCCGCATATTTTCCGAGCAGCAGGAATATCGCACGAAATTAGTACTAAAGCCGCACAAATATTTTTCCCGTTTTGGCACTCAAATGTTCGATTTAAAGTTATTCTACTCTATAGTAACTCTAATTCATTGACAATAGGCGCAATATAATGATTAATCTTGTGCAAGCTTACTTTGTTCGGTCCTGGTAGTAGACCGAGAACTAGCAAATTCTCACGCTTGAACCGAATGTCACGAGGTAAATTACAGATAGCCGTGTAAATTACCCTAATACTATAAAATGTACCATCATAGAGCTGGAACTAATCAAGGTTTATCATTAGTCCTAGATGTGAATCGGCTACTTCTGGTCAGAAAAATTTGGCTGAATTTTCATCGTCAGTTTCTCTGAATATTTTCCAGATTTGACCGTCATATATATCAGTCAGTATGTTATCGAATTATCGACGATTTGACCAATGTCGAAGTAACTGTTCAAAGTGAGGTCGACGATATA